TTCCAGTGAAGAGTCCTGGAGCCCTCTCTCCGATTCCCCCATCTGCCCACCTTTATCCCTGGTGTTGCGCTTAAATGCTTCCCCCTCAACTGAGCTGTTTCTCCCTCTGCTGCTGGGTCCTTCTCCAGCATCATCTAGGAGCCTCCCCTTCGCCTCTCGCTCCGATGTCAGTTCCCTGACAGGAAGACAATTTGATCTTTTTTTATTTTAGTTTTTTATTTTTATTGGATTATGATTTGATATGTTAATTGGATGTTTTTTATTGGGAAATTAATATACACTCTAACGAAAAAAAGAAGGGGAATAAAACAACATTAGCCAGCGTGGTGTAGTGGTTAAGAGTGGTGGACTCGTAATCTGGTGAACCGGGTTCGCTTCCCCGCTCCTCCACATGCAGCTGCTGGGTGACCTTGGGCTACTCACACTTCTCTGAAGTCTCTCAGCTCCACTCACCTCACAGAGTGTTGGTGGTGGGGGAGGAAGGGAAAGGAGATTGTGAGCAGCTTTGAGACTCCTTAGGGTAGTGATAAAGCAGGATATCAAATCCAAACTCCTCCTTGTCGTTGTCCACTTCTTCTTCTTCTTCTTCCTTTGGACAGGCAGTCTCCCCACCCCTACCCCCTTCCCAGCGCATCAATATGGAGATAGTGCTTCCCTTTGGTTTAAGCACTAGATGCTGGGAGTAAACATTTATTCATTCCACTGGTCACCCGTCTTGGTTCCTACTCGAACAGTACGTGGGCACTTCTACATAACTGTTGCTATTGTGTTTGTGATGTGCGTAGTTCATTCTGTCATGAATGCTTTAGCTGAGTTTCTTGCATTGCAGGGGGTTGGACTAGGTGTCCTTTAGGGTCCCTTTCAACTCTATGATTCATTCAAAACCATTAAAATGTTTGTAAAAGAAAAGAAAGATGATGGTTAGATCCAGTGCTTTTTTTCTGGGGGTACTCAGGGGTACTAACATTTTGTGAATCTTTGCCAGAATCTCCGCTCGGCCAAGCCGATAAGGCCTCATCTTCCTCCAAGCTGAGCCTTTGAAATTGCCTCCGACGTGTATAATGACCTGAGCCTTTGATAAGGCCTCAAGCACATTCTATCCAGCAGGGTTCCCAGCACAGGGAAGAGACGACAGGTTTGGTTACATTGTAAAGAGTTTTATTTCTAAACTACGCAGAACAGAAAAGACATCCTCTCTCTATGAAAGCAGAGAGCAACTGAACAAAGGAACAAAGGAAGAAAGGAAACAGGAAACCACTAACGTCACATCCCGTCTCCCTTTCCCGTGAGACTGCAAGGTCTCTGGAATGTAAACACACAGCTGCACAGTGAGAAACAGAAACTAACATCCTCCCCCTTTCTGTGAACACCACTGGGCAGCGTGTCAGTACATTATCAGTACAAACCCAATTTCTGTACATAGGTACAGTGTTGATCCTTCGGAACAACCTTGGACAATAAATCAGCAGGAATTTCATTACCTGGCATGTAGGACACCATTACAAGTCCTTTCTGAACACATTCTCTAGCATGTTGCAGCTTCAATTGCAAGTGCTTCGTGCTTTGCTTACACCCTTCAGAAGTCAGGAAAGCCAAACATGCTTTGCTGTCCTGATAAACCTGGATTGGACATTTGACAGGAATTCTCATGTCTTTACACAACTGTAACAACCATTCACAATCCACAAGTGAATAAGACAGTGCATTCAGTTCAGCTTCACAAGTACTTAAGCTAACTGTTGTTTGCTTCTTGCATGACCAATCAAAAAGACCCTGATTGTACATATAGCAAACTCCAGACGTGCTTTTCCTGTCTGTAGTGTCACTTCCAAAACTTGCATCTGCAAATATCTCAAGACCACCAGACTTCTGATTGTTAAATCTTAGTCTGTAATGCATAGTGCCTTTCAAATAGTGAGCTATGCGTTTCAGAGCTTTCCAATCCTTAACAGTAGGATTGTTGACTTGTCTGCTTAGTAAATTACAGCTAACAGCAATGTCAGGTCTTGAACATCTGGCAATGAAGTTTAGTTTGCCTAGCACACTTCTGTACAGTGTAGTGTCAGAAAATGCTTCTTCAGTGTCATCTACCTGATAACCTGTTGCCATCGGTGTGTCTACAGGGTTAGCATCCATCAGGTTTAGTTTGCTTAACACATCAGCAATTTTTCGTGACTGGTGTACTAGAATGTTACCATCTTGACCTCTTTCTATTTCCAGGGATAGGTAGTTGTTTACCTCACCAAGATCTTTCATGTCAAAGTGCTCTTTCAGTTGAGCTAGGGCGTTATTGTACATTGTGACATCTTTCCAAAAGAACAGAATATCATCAACATAAAACAAGCAATACAGCTTCTTTTGCTCCTCCTCTTTGACAAATACACATGGATCAGCTTTTCTTTGCTGAAAACCTAGAGAAAACAATACTTCAGTGAGTTTTGTGTGCCAACACCGTGCATTTTGTTTGAGACCATAAAGAGACTTCTTCAGAGAACAAACAAATCCCTGTTTTACCTGTACGCCATCAGGTGGAAGCATATAAAGAGATTCACCTAGAGATCCGTACAAAAACGCTGTATTCACGTCGTGGTGACTTAAGTGAAGATTCTCTTCTGCAGCAAGTTTGAGCATAAGCCTAATGCTCTCATACCTCATGGTGGGCGAGTAGGTCTCGTGATAGTCTTCACCTGGTACCTGTGAAAAACCTCTGGCTTCCAATCTGCCTTTGTGTCTGACTATCTTGCCATTTTGATCAGTCTTCACTTTGAAGACCCATTTGCTTCCAAGCAGTTTCATTCCTGGAACTACTGGAACTAGCTCCCATGTTTTGTTCCTCTCTAAGGAATCAAGCTCAGCCTTCATGGCATTTAACCATGGCTCAGCATCCTTTGAATCCAAATCCTGGATTTCTTGGAAACTTGAAGGTTCAAATACCTTCTTGGAGCTTTTAACAGCTGCTACTGCTGTCTTAGCAAATTCATCAGCAAATCTCTTTGGAGGTCTGCCCTTTGTGGCTCTTTGAGACCTGCGAATTAGCCGTAGGTCTTCAACACTCTCCTCTTCCTTCTTAGGAGAAAAATGACCTATTGTGAACAATGGTTCCTCCAATTCTTGATCAGAGCTTTCAGAGGGTCGCATAGAGGCTTTCACACTCTTGAAATCCTCTGAATCACCCGATTCAGTCTCAGACTCAGAATCAGGACCTTCATCAGTGGGTGTGGGTTGTTGCCGCAGCTGTGGCTGTTGCTGCTGCTGTGGCTGTTGCCTATTCTCAGTCTCATCACTGTCATCAGGATAACATTGGAAAATTCCCACATTCTCCCCCCACTTGGCATTGTACTCAACACTTCTTGTGAGCCTAATTGTCTTAGAGTCAGTCATCATTATTCTGTAAGAACCTTTCTGATACCCAAGAAAGATACCATGCAATCCACGCTTGCCTAACTTGGAGCTTAGTGGTGTGTGAACCCACATGTCAAAACCAAAAACTCTCATGTGTTTGATGTATGGTTTCTTGCCAAACATCTTCTCATAGGGGGAACAACCAATCGCTGAAGATAACCTGCGATTATAACTGTAAACAAAACACGCCAAAGATTCCGCCCAATAACTCTCTGGAAGATTGGCATCATGCAGCAAGGTTTTTAGACCTTGAAGCAATGTCTGATTTGCTCTCTCACAAAGTCCGTTCTGCCATGGCGAGCGAGGATTAGACAAATCGTGCTGAATTCCTTTCTCAGTCAGAAAAGCTTCAAACTGCTGAGAAGTGAATTCCCGCCCCCCCCGCGATCAGTGAAAAGAGTCTTTATCTTCTTACCATGCACATTTTCCAACCAAGCACAGAATTCCTTGAACCTTGGAAAAGCCTCTGATTTCTGCTCAAGATTGTACACATAAATATACCTGGAAAATGCATCACTGAGTACCATGAAGTACCTGTGTCCACCCAAAGAGGGCGATAGTGGACCAACCAAATCAGCATGTACTACCTGGTATGGTTCTGTAGCTTGCCTACTAGACACCTTACCTTTCAGAGCCATTTTCACTTTGTTTGCTGCGCATGCCTTACACTTCATGTGGTACCTGCAGGGTTTAATAGTCATACCTTCAACCAAGGCAGGCATTTTATATACTGCCTCAAAATGCAAATGACCAAATTTCCTGTGAAAATCATGAATACATCCTGCATGCAAACTTTTGTTAGAACCTGCAATGCAACAAGTTTCATCCTGCACATCATCATCATAATACAAAACAAACAAACGATCAACATATTCAGCATGCAATACATAATCATTTTTCTTTGTGATGGTGCACTTCTTATTCTTGACGGAAACGTCAATTTTCCGTTCATTCAGCTGCGCAACACTGAGTAGATTGTGTGAAGCATCTGGAACGTAGAGAACATCTTGTATCGATAAGTCCAAACTGTGAAGAACAACAGTTCCGTAGCCTTGACTGGGGATCGTGTGGTCATCCGCCTGGTGAATCGCACCTTCCTGCGGTGTAAAAGACATGAACAGTCGCTTGTCGTTGCATAAGTGGTGCGTTGCGCTCGTATCCACCATGAAGAAAGATCTAGACATCTTCTGGACCTTTGCAACCTTTGGAGTGAAGCGTGAGACCATTGCCTTGTGCTGCGTTGTCCTGGACACCGGACCTTTGCCTTTTCCACGCGATGAGCTTTCGCTGCGCTGCTCTGTCTTGGCCCTGGGAAATCTGCATTCCCTCGTCATATGGCCTAGACGTCCACACGAGTAGCATTTCACTGCCTTCAAAGCTTTGGTGCCATCTGGTGGTTCCACTGCATTCTGGGATGACGTCTGTGAAGACTCCCCCTTACCCATGCAGCTAGCACCTCGCCTGTCCGCTTCATTCAGAATCACGGCAGTAACGTGCTACTGCGATCTGAGCAGTTGGCTGAACAGCAATCTGAGTGGCAACAGACTCCCAACTTGAACCCTGTTAGGTA